ATTAGTAGCCTCTACACCCTATGAGTTATGGACGGACCGTAAATCCAATTTACATCATTTGTGCCCATGGGGATCCGTCGCATATATTCATAATAATTCTTATAAATAATACAAATTAGGGCCTAAAGGAAGAAAAATGTATCTTTATAAGATACTGCGAATACTCAAAGGGATATGTTTTCATTAGTGACGACTCCGATGGACGAACCACTTGAAATAGAATCTCGAGATGTCACTTTTCTAGAAGATATTTTTCGTAAAAAGGATGAGATAGATAAAAATGATCTTCATTTTTTTGAGATAGAAGAAGATGATAAGCCTAAAGTCGATCGAAGTCGACACTCGACTAGATGTGAAAAACTCTCTTCTTCCTAGTGGGAGTTTTGAAAGCATAACACCACTATCTTAATTGAGTGGGAGGAATGAGGATGAATCAATTTTTATTGGTGTTAATAACGATCCTTATTTATGTAGGAGCAATTGATCGAGAATTGCTCGAAAACGATTTGAAATTGATAATGAAGCTTACATTGTAATCCCATGAGATGATGAAGAACCTAGAATAGTACAAGAGGCGGTAACATGTCCTGCTAAAGAGATATGGAAAATTGTAATAGAAGAGGAAATGGAATCCATGAAACTAAACCGGGTGTGGAATTTGGTTGATCTTTCGCCGAGTCGTAAAGCCATTGGGAATAAATGGATTCTCAAAATGAAACAAAAGGTAGACGGATCAATTGAAAGATGTAAAGCTTGTCTTGTAGCTAAAGGTTTTACCCAAAAAAAGGGTATAGACTACAAGGAAACCTTTTCTCCTATTGTTAGATTTGCCTCGATAAGATTAATTTTAGCCATTGTTGCATATTTAGATTTAGAATTGCATCAAATGGATGTAAAAATAGCCTTCCTTAATGGAGAGTTAGAGGAGGAAATCGATATGGAACGACTCTATAGGTTTCATTATTGAAGGCCAAGAGTGCAAATTTTACAAGCTCCAAAGATCTATCTATGGTTTAAAACTAGCATCCGGACAAATGGTACCTTCATTTTCATAAGGCAATAATGACTTGTGATTTTAAGATGATTGAGGAAGACCATTGTGTTTATGTTAAAAAAACCGAAGAGAAGTTCGCAATTCTATCTTTATATGTTGATGGTGTTTTGATAGCTAGGATCGATAAAGATTTTATCATGTCTATCAAAGCATGGTTATCCATAAATTTTGACATGAAGGACATGGGTAAAGCAAACTAAATTTTGGGAGTCAAGATCATTAGAGATTGTTCAAAAAATTTTCTAGCTTTGTCACAAGAACATTATATCCGAGAAAATTCTAGAACGATTTCATATGAGTAATTGTAAGTCCGTGGACACCCCTATGTCAAAAGGTGAGTCTTTAAGTAGTAAAATATGTCCTAAAACTCCAGAAGATTAAAAAGAGATATCTAAAGTACCATATTCAAGTGCGGTTATAAGCTTTATATATGCAATGATGTGTACTCATCCGGATATATGTTTTACCGTTGGTTTGGTTAGTCAATTTCAATTAAATCCTGGTCGAGAGCATTGGAAGGTCTGTTAAAAGGATCTTGAGATATCTCGAGGGCACTATGGATTATTGTACGTGTTACCAGAGAGAAATTTACATTTGAATGGGTACTCGGATGCTGATTGGGGAGAAGACCTTGATGAATGCAAATCCACTTCGACTATGCTTTCCTACTCAACAATGGCGCCATCTCTTGGAGAAGCAAGAAACGGACATGTTTAGCTTTATCTACTATAGAGGCTGAATTTATAACATGTTCAACTGTCGTGCGAGAAGCAATTTAGTTAAAGAGATTCCTTAAGGATTTAAAAGTTAATAGTAAAAGCTTGGGGCCTATTACCGTCTATTGTGACAACCAAGCAACTATTGCTTATACCAAGGATCCCAAATACCATAATAGAGCCAAACATATTGACATTAAGTATAACTACATTAGAGACATCATAGGAAGAAGAGAAGTGTTAGTATAATATATATCTACGTATTAAATGATAACGGATCCTCTCACAAAACCCATACCAAGAGATGTGCATAGGAAAAGAGAAGCGTTAGTACAATATATATCTACGCATCAAATGATAACGAGATCCTCTCACAAAACCCATACCAAGAGATGTCTATCTTAAACATGTTAAATCTCTTAGAATGCGTAGATTGTAACTTTTTTATGATAATGAACGAGTTGAGCTTATATATTGTACTATTTTATTATGAATGCAATGTGATATATATTTACATGTTATGTATGTTACTTTAGTAAAGCTCAATTTTTTTAAAATCACATAGGTTTAGATTGGCTCTCTCACACGAGCAATCGCCTTTAGCGTTAATGAAAATGAGTAGAGATGAGACAATGCTCCTCCGGTGCTATTAAGAACGAGTGGAGTAGAGATAAGATTAAGAAAATGTCACCTTAATATAAAATTAAGATGAATTGTAAATCAATAAATATTTTTTTTACAATTGATTTGGAAAACTCGATCCAAATAACTCGTGAAAGCCGATTTGAGATCTCGATGATTAAAACCTCGCTGAAAGAAAACACCTTGAGAACTCGGGTTAGTCATTTGTGTCCAATGAGTCGAACTAAGATTTATACGAGTGTGTATAAGATATGATGAATGGGAACACCGTAGAATGTGATTTATACCACATGTGCTAATATGATCGCAAAAGATAGTGGGAGAATGAATCCCTACTTCTTCACTTTGTGAGATCTTTAGAGGAATAATAATATCCTCTAGATAAAACCCTTTATCACTTTTTACAGCTATTCAAGATCTAGGCTTGGTGTTTGCTATCTTAGATAGCTACTTATGATCATGTGATTCAATCTATATAACTTGTCTAGAAAAGCGACTAAGCTCTAAATTAAGAATTTCGAATAAAAAAGAAGATGTGTTCGGTATATTTATAGGCTGGCCAATCATGTTGCTTGAAAAAAGCATTGCTTGGGAATAGTGTGGACATGATTATGGATATACAATATGATATCATATTAATACCAATTGAGGGATTTGATATAATGAGATATTCAGTACAAGGAATCATCCGAGGTATTGTGAGATTTATGATATATTATATTTCTTATATCGTTCATTAATCTAAGGTAGTAGCTACTATGTTATTCCTAACGGATACATAGTAATAAGCTCCCAAAATGCGGAAATGCTTGCTAGGTTGCACGATCCATTTGCTTGTATGAAAAATATACCTTCTTGTTTTACTATCGATATTGCAGAGAGCCTCGCATCGGGTCTAACCCTTTATGTGCGAGTGGGAGATGTTAGAAAAAATAAAAGAATTTGGGTCACCCATGATGGGTCGACCCGATAAGAAAATAATAACTATCAAAACAAGTTACGAGGAAAACATTGTTTCCCTTCATCTCCATGCATATATATATATATATGCATATATATATATATATATATATATATATATATATATATATATATATATATATCTTTGGAAAAAGATAGACAAATAAGAGAGAGATAAGAGAAAGATAAGGAAATAAAAAAGGAGAGAAAACAAACAAAATAAAAACTCTCTCGCAGTGCGAATACTAAAGCAAGAAGGATTATCTTGGAACTTGGATTGTGGAAATAAAGATAGTGATTTAATATTAGTGTATTGATCTAGTGAAATTATTTACGGGTAAGTGTGTTTTAATCTTAATTATTTTTATTATTGAAGTATTCATAATCTTCAATTCTTTTTCATGGGATTTGCTGGAGTGGTAAGTCAAATCCATCCCATGATTCTTTGTTTCCAGTTTCTTCAAAAGCCTCGGATCTATTCCCTGAACTAGATGCAGCTCCTACATTGCCTAGACATCTCATCGAAGGTTGGTTTCTAATCAACCATGACACCATTATGCTCATTTTTCTTGAATATTAGGCCTTGTTGAAACAATTATTTGTACTCTGAAATAGACTGGTATAAAATATATTGGTGCATGGTTCTGATTTCTGGAGATAGTCTGTTTGTATCTACCTTTGAGCTTTTCATTTAGTTGGTAACGGAGCTTGCTTCCACAAGGGGCAAGAGGGAAATTACCCCCTTAAAAGTTTTGAAAAATTCGTAATGGTACTCAATAGGCTTGAGACTTTGAATTTGCCCCCTTTCCCCCCATTTTTTAGACATTCCCACCCACTAGTTTTTTTTTAAGCTTACCAATTACTTCATGAAATATTCCCTAAATAATAGTTTTTAGAATAGTTGTATACGAAATTATCATTTAAATTACTGCATTGTGTTTTTCAATTCAATTTTATTGATATGATAATTTTGTTTAAATCAAATATTACATATATATATTAGAGTAATACTATATATTTTGTATAATAATACCTATTGAAATAGTGTTTTTATTTATGCCGCCCTCATTTCAATACTTCAAATTAGCGTTCTGTGACCAATGGTCTTGTGGGGGGCAATTCAAATGATCTACTAGATGCAAGTAATGCAACGAAAAATGAGAATTCTTCATCAATTAATTCACCTCCCTAACAAGGAAGCCAAAGGGGTAAGGCAAATGGCATTGCTACCAACAAATCTTGGAGCAATCATCCTAGAAAAACAACTGCCAGGAAGTTGTACTATGTTTTGAAAGATCACTTCAGTTGGATTATATTTAAGTAGTTTCATTTACATCTTGTGAAAATGGTTAGTTGGAGGCAATTCAAAGCTGCCTGAAGCAAGAAATGCAACAAAAAATGACAAGACTTCGTCTTCAAAATTCACTGTCCAACATGTTCAAACAAGAAATGAAGCGAGTGGCTTTCGTACAAGCACAAGTAATAGTGGACCGAGGAAAAAAATTGCCGGTAAGTAGATTGTTTTGAAAAACATCTGCTATTCTACTGCGTCACAATTTTGATAGTACTTTTAATTGACATCCTGAGTAGGCAATTCAAAGCTACCAGATGCTACTAATCCAACGAAAATGGAGAAGAATTCTGCAGGCAAATCAATTGTCCAACAAGGTAAAAAAAGAAGTGAGGCCAATGGGTTTGGTACCAGCACAATTCGTAGCAAAGGTCCTAGAAAAATAACTACAAGTAGTAATATTTGAAAAACAACTGCAGTTCATTTGTACATAAATTTTAGTACAAATTGAAAAACTACTTGACGATTCATGAAATTATAGAGATCAGAAATCTAGTTTTGTATCTAAAATACTCAAACCGTCAAATGAGGTGATTTTAGAAACAGCAACACTATTTCGGATATAAAAAGAAATTCTGTGATATTTTCTTCAACTTGTAGGGTAGTTTTGCCAAATTTTGAACTTTGGTTATGTTTATAATTGATTCTATTGTAATTTACTCTTGGTTTTAGTACTTTAATTTGACATTTTTTTCTTACAATATCCTGTTTTAGGCAATTCAGAGCTAGCAAATGCAAGTGAAGTAGTGAAAAAGAAGGAAGGCTTCTGCACCTCATCCGTCAACTATTCAACAGGATACCAAAAGGAATGTAGCAAGTAATGGCGGTACCTGCACAAAAAGTACTAGAAAAATTGCTGGTTATAAGTCAAACAAACCCTAAGAAGAATATCAATAACAATGGTGTATTACTAGTCTCTTCTGGTATGCTGTTGCACCTGATTCTTCTTTGGCTTTTGTTGCCATCAACTTCATCCAGCCTGTGCCCATTCTTTGTTTATTCATATTTTCCAACTGGTCTACCTTTCGAGGAAACTACCCGAGACCTTTTTATCAACAGCAAGCTGGATGTTATTTATTTATTTATTTATTTTTATATCTGAATCACTCAAAACGAAAAGGGGAAATAAACATTATAAATTCTTTCCTTTAACTGAACTTTAGACAAGGAAAAAAAAAGAAGAAGAAGAAGCTAGAAAGTTACAAATAATATTCTCTAATAGTTTGCTAAAAAATTAATAAGTTCTAATTCTTCTAAATGAAACTTATTCCAAGCTTAGATCTGAATTCTTTAAGCATCACTGACAATTCCATATATCTCTAGCACCACCATGCCTTCTGGTCTTTCCAAAATGTGGAGCAAATCAGGTAAGAATCTGGAATAATTCTAGACTATGCATGAGTAGATTTTAGAAATAATTAATTAAATTATAACCGGATCCGGTTGTATACTAATACGTATAATGTATGCAAACAATGTCTTTGATTTTCCTTTACAAAAAATGTTACAAAATTCCACAAAGCTATGTCCATTTAATTAGCACTGTTACAAAAGTGTTTATCATTTGCGCATTAAAGTTCTTCTACTTTTTTTAAACAAAAGTATCTAAATTAAAAAATTTTAATCATTGGACAAGACTTTAAAAATAATTTTATATTAACTCTCTAATAAAATTTAAAGATATATATTTTATCATTTACAGGTTAACATTAAAAAGACAATAATTTCATTCGATCCATTGAGTATCCATGTGTGATCTGACCCGGTTTAATTGGATTTTTATCCACTATCTATGACCATGAGGTGGGTAAACTCCAACCCAGTTTGAATGGAGTCGAATGTGAGGGATTTACCTGACCAGCCTTTGACTTAGGTTTTTTATTTTTTATTTTTTGGAGTTGTAATTTTATTTCTCAATGTAATGCATGAATTTTTGTATTATGATTTATGTACGATTTTTATAGTTTTATATATAAATTTAAAGTTTAAGCTCTATTATATTGTTTTATGGTTCTAGATGAGGTTATAATTTATTTTTTTAAGCTAAGATTGTATTATTGTAAAATTGATCTTAGAAAAAAACAAAGTAAGAATCCAGATGGGATCTGGTATCCAGTGGATACCTACTAAGTGAAAAAAAATTCTATCCGACCGAGTCAAAGTTATAAACGAATAGTGAATTTGGATATTTCAAATCTGATGCGGATATAACAATGTTAGGTTCCAACCAAATTCATTACCTTCCATAATTAATGCACCTATATGAAAGGTTTTTCTGGACATCATTTTTATTTTTATTTTTATTTTTAATATAGGTATACATCAATGTCAAAAGAGACTTGGAGAACGAAACAAGCATATAAAGAATCTTGGAGGAATGTGGTCGGCGCTTCAAAAACACGTGCATGAGAGGCCTGGGAGAAATGTCATCGGTACTTCTAATAATAATAATGATAATAAAATACTAAGAATGTCTGAAGAACAATTTATAAACAAAGACCTGCGATGCGAGTCTCCAGCCAACCCATTCGTTGTCTCTCCCTCTATGCCAACCGTGCAGATTGAGAGTGTCTGATCATTTGATTCAAGAATCAAGAAAGAATTCTTTTTTCATGGGGATTTGCTGGAGTGGTAAGTCAAATCTATCCCATGCTTCTTAGTCTCGAGTTTCTTCACAAGCCTCGGATCCATTCCCTGAACTAGATGCAGCTCCTACATCGCCTGGACATCTCATTGAAGGTTGGTTTCTAATCAACCATGACACCATTAAGCTCATTTTCCTTGAATATTTACCTTGGCCTTGTTGAAAAAATTATTTGTATTTTGAACTAGACTAGTATAAAATGTTCTGTTTTTATTTTTACATTGAACTAGACTAGTATAAAATATATTGATGCGTGGTTTTGATTTTTGGAGATGGTTTGTTTATATCTACCCTTGAGCTGTTGATTTAGTTGGTAACGGAGCTTGCTTCCACAAGGGGCAGGTGGGAAATTACCCCCTTAAAATTTTTGAAAAATTCGTAATGGTCCTCAATAGGCTTTAGACTTTGAATTTGCCCCCTTTCTCCCTTTTTTTTTTTGACATTCCCAACCACTAGTTTTATTTTTTATTTTTATTTATTTTTTTTTTAAGCTTACCAATTACTACATGACATATTTTCTAAATAATAGTTTTTTAGAATAGTTCTATACGAAATTATCATTTAAATTACTGTATTGTGTTTTTCAATTCAATTTTGATATAATAATTTTGTTTTAATCAAATATTACATATTAGAGGTGGAGCTTATAGTTCAATGGTAATGGTTTCTTGTCACAAGAAGTCACGAGTTCAAATCCTAGTAGACTAATTTGTTAAGAGCCTTAGGTGTGTAAATTAAAAAAAAAAAAAATTACACAGTAGAGTAATAGTATATATTTTGTACAATAATACCTATTGAAATGGTGTTTTTAGTTACGCCGCCCTTATTTTAATACTTCAAATTAACATTATGTGACCAATATATATGGTCTTGTGGGGGCAACTCAAATGATCTACTAGATGCAAGTAATGCAACGAAAAATCAGAAGTTTTCATCGATTCAAAATGCAAAGAAAAATGAGAAGTCTTCATCAATTCAATCACCTCCCTAACAAGGAAGCCAAAGGGGCAAGGCAAATGGCATTGCTACCAACAAATCTTGGAACAATCATCCTAGACAAACAACTGCCAGTAAGTTTTACTATGTTTTGAAAGATAGCTTCAGTTGGATTATATTTACGTAGTTCCATTTACATCTTGTGAAAATGGTTAGTTGAAGGTAATTCAAAGCTGCCTGAAGCAAGAAATGCAACGAAAAAAGACAAGACTTCTTCAAAATTCACTGTCCAACATGTTCAAACAAGAAATGAAGCAAGTGGCTTTCGTACAAGCACAAATAATAGTGGTCCGGGAAAAAAATTGCCGGTAATTAGATTATTTTGAAAAATATCTATTCAGCTGTGTTACAATTTTGATAGTACTTCATATTGACATCCTGAGTAGGCAATTCAAAGTCACCAGATGCTACTAATGCAAAGAAAAAGGAGAACAATTCTGCAGCCAAATCAATTGTCCAACAATGTGAAAAAAGAAACGAGGCCAATGGGTTTGGTACCAGCACAATTCGTAGCAAAGGTCCTAGAACAACAACTACAAGTAAGTAGTAATATTCTGAAAAACAACTGCAATTCATTTGTGTTTAAATTTTAGTATAAATTGAAAAACTCCTTGACGATTCATGAAATTATAGAGATAAAAAATCTTCTTTTGCATCTAAAATACTTGAACCGTCAAATGAGGTGATTTTAGAAACAACGAGACTATTTCGGATATAAAAAGAAATTCTGTAATATTTTCTTCAACTTGTAGGGTAGTTTTGTCAAATTTTGAGCTTTGGTTATGTCTATAATTGATTTTATTGTAATTTACTCTTGATTTTAGTACTTTAATTTGACATCTTTTCTTACAATATCCTGTTTTAGGCAATTCAGAGCTAGCAAATGCAAGCAAAGTAGTGAAAAAAAGAAAGCTTCTGCACCTTATCCGTCACCCATTCAACAGGATACCAAAAGGAATGTAGCAAGTATTGGTGGTACCTGCACAAAAAGTACTAGAAAAATTGCTGCAAGTAATGGTGGTGTCTGCACAAAAAGCACATGTAATAATAGACCGAGAAAAATAATTGCCAGAAAGTGGATTATTTTGAAAAGTTTCTGCAATTCAATTGTGTTATAATTTTAGTACTTTTAAAATTTAAATGACATCTTGAGATGCTATCATGGTGTAGGCAATTCAAAGCTACCAGATGCTACTAATGCAGTGAAAAAGGAGAAGAATTCTGCAGCCAAATCAATTGTCCAACAAGGTAAAAAAAGAAGCGAGGCCAATGGGTTTGGTACCAGCACAATTCGTAGCAAAGCTCCTAGAAAAATAACTACAAGTACGTAGTAACATTTTGAAGAACAACTACAATTCATTTGTATTTAAATTTTAGTATATATTGAAAAAATCCTTGACGATTCATGAAATTATAGAGATCAGAAATCTTCTTTTGTATCTAAAATACTCGAACCGTCAAATGAGGTGATTTTAAAAACAGCAAGACAATTTCGAATATAAAAAGAAATTCTGTAATATTTTCTTCAACTTGTAGGGTAGTTTTGTCAAATTTTGAACTGTGGTTATGTTTATAATTGATTTTATTGTAATTTACTCTTGATTTTATTACTTTAATTTGACATCTTTTCTTACAATATCCAGTTTTCGGCAATTCAGAGCTAGCAAATGCAAGTAAAGTAGTAAAAAAGAAGAAGGCTTCTGCACCTCATCCGTCAACCATTCAACAGGGTACCAAAAGGAATGTAGCAAGTAATGGTGGTACCAGCAAAAAAATTACTAGAAAAATTGCTGGTTATAAGTCAAACAAACCCTAGGAAGAATATCAATAACAATGGTAGACTACTAGTCTCTTCTGGTATGCTGTTGCACCTGATTCTTCTTTGGCTCTTGTTGTCGTCAACTTCATCCAGCCTGTGCCTATTCTTTGTTTATTCATAATTTCCAACTGGACTACCTTTCGAGGAAACTATCCGAGAATTTTTTATCCTAATTTCTTGTTCTTTCTGTAGCATTATCGATTAGCGTGTCTGAAAAGTTCAATTGGAGCAGAGTACTTTCTGTTCTTTCCGTTCGTATTTGATTGATTCAGAATTTTTAACACCTCATTTCATCCTTGAATGATGTTAAATTTAACGGATTCCATTGAAAAATCTCATGATCTTTGTATCAAAAATGTGGATCCTGCTAGTAGATGCCATAAATTTAATGGTTAAAATATTCTGAGAAATGATTTTTGGAATCATTCTATTAAAACTTCTTTATGGAATCCGTCAGTGAGCGTTTGAGACCTTGCATAATCAAAGAACCCTTTACTGTATAAAAACGAAAAAGACATCTAACAAGCAATCAGAACAATTTTAAATGTCTTCCTTCCGTCGTACTGAATTTTGAGTCTGCAGCTTTAATCGCTCTAATGTATCAGCAACTTCCGTCATCGATGGCCGGCTTGTGGGACGCAAGTAAAGACATCTAAACGCAAGCATAGCTATTTCTGAAGCTTGCTTGGTCGAATACCTTCCCTGCAACCTAGGGTCCATTATACGTCTCAACCTTGTTCTGTCTGATAGAAACGGCAAAGCCCACTCCCTCAGGTCTCGCTCCTCAGGTGGTCGGTTTTTATCAATTGCCCGTAAGCCAGTGAGCATCTCGACCAAAACTACACCAAAACTGTACACATCGCTCTTTACATACAATGTCCCTAATCAAACGCATAACATCATTGTCATGACTTGAAGTAAAACATCACTGAACCATCAAGACATCCTAAGTTTAGAAGGTACAAGAAGAAATCGATTACCTCCAGTCTTATATTCAGGAGCAACATAACCACGTGTGCCCATAACATTTCCTGTTACATATTGACTGCCATCATTGGGTCCCCATTTTGCTAAGCCAAAATCTGATAACTTCGGAGTATAGGACTACAAACATAAACCTAGATGTTAAAAGGATTTTAAGGATGTGTTTACATAACTGAAAGCTTTGGAAAAGCTTCTGTATCATCAATTTAATCTTTATCTGTTTCCTGTTGTCAATGCAGACATTATACAGAACTTTACCTCATCAAGCAAAATATTTGAGCTCTTAAAGTCTCTGAAGATTATGGGCCTCTCCATTGTATGCAAGCAAGACAGGGCTTGAGCCATTCCTGTAGCAATCTTTAGCCTTATTTCCCAAGGAAGTAGCTGGCCTGAGTGCTCTGCACAGAAGTTCTTAATCTATGAAATTATAGCTTATGCACTTGTTCAATAATTATTAGATATAAAAGATGCAGACTAGAGGTTCTTACTTCCAAACAAATGGTAATTTAAACTGCCTTTCTTCATGAATTCATAGACGATAAGCAACTCTTTATTTCCATTTTCCTGACAGTATCCTAGCAGCTTTACAATGTTAGGATGAGAAACCCTTGCTAAGAAACCGACCTCCGTCTGTAGCGATAAATTTCAATGATTTGTAGACAAAAAATAATTACTCTTAAGAGGAAACCATAAGAACATTGAATTATCTATACATAAGTATATATAATCAGCAGAAAGCTAGCAAATTTTAAGTTCAGATAGGCTTAGTAAAATAGAATTACCTGCCACTGTCGAAGTCCTTGCTTGCTGTTAGAATCCAATTTCTTGACAGCCATGCGAAGTTTCCTAGAACCCTCAATCGGCACCTTTTCGTTGGGCAAACCCTTGTAGACACTGCCGAACCCTCCCCTTCCCAGCAACATATCATTTCTAAAATTGAACGTTGCTGCCTTCAATTGCTTAAACGTGAAAACTCTCAACTTTGACTCAAAATTTTCATCTGGAAAGGCCGGGAATTCAATGTCCTCAAATTTACCCCGAATAGCACCCTTGGCTTGAGACATCCATGTTGTGACATTGGTGGTGGCTATAGAGAACCAGCTGTTGCCGGAGACATTGCTAACCAGTAAATCAGATATATAACCTAAGTTGAAGTTATACAAACGGTAAGATTGAAGCCCTGCAAGGCTTAAACCTAACGAGATTGTACAACTCTCTGTATTTTACAGTCCATTAACAGATCAACATGGAAATTAAGAAAATCCCAAGTAGCCTTTAAGCACTAAGAGACCAGGGCATGTATTAAATGAAAATTGCAAACTAGCAGAGAACAATGTTATGGTCAGAATTCAGAAACCAACCTTCACTTAGATGTCCGGGTGAAGTAAGAGCTGTGTCTGGATAAGGGAATGGATCTGGGGCTAGTGCTGGAGCTGTAGCTGAGGTAGTTGCGAAACCTGTGCCTGCGGCTGGATTACTAAAACTGCAACCGAAGAAATTCCCCATAAAAAGAAATCTGTCTTTCTTGAATCAATAATAACATTAACGGTAGATTGAGTGTGAGAGAGAGAGAGATTCCTTTTTTATTTAGGTGATAAGAGAGGCTCATTGACTTGATGACTTCATTTCCGAACTATCGACGACATTTCTCCCAGGCCTATCATGCACGTGGTTTTGAAGCGCCGACAACATTTCTCCTCCAAGACTCCCTCTCTTTTAATAGTGACGTATAACAATAAAAAAAAATGACAGAGACAAACTTTTAATATTAAATTTCAGGCAAATGGATTAAGTAATATAAAACTAAGAAGTGGTAATTACTTTTAAAGTAATATAAAATCCCTCAAATGGATTTTATTTTATTTTTTTTGCATGAAAAATAGGAGACCAAACAAGCTTCAGAAATAGCTATGCATGCTTGCATTTATAATTTTTTTTTTTTTTCATTCTACATGTTTATGTATACAAGCAGATCCATTTGTGTTGCATCAGCCAGCATCGGTAGTTCTGAAACCTGCAAATATGCTAGGAATAAGTGATGGAGCTAGATTTATTTATTTATTATTATTAACATTTTGGAAGGGTTAAAAAATTAGATGTTGATAGACTAAAGTGTAACTTTCTTAATTTTAAAAAGTCATTATGCACAAAATTGTTAAACATTCTTGAAATAACCCTAAAAACTTGAAGGACTTTTTTGAATTTTGGGGGTGGCCCCGCCAGCTGATATCCTCTGAAAGCTAGGAATGATAAATATTCTTGATGAATTGACAGAAGTAGAATTAAATGAACCTGGGCTATGAATCAAGGAAAAAAGACAAATTACCTAGAGATGTTTGATAGTCAATTTCGTAAGAATTTATGTAGATAAATTTGGTATTGAAAAAAGATTAAAAGGGACAAACCTCTCCTCAACCTTAGTTCATTTGAAAATCAATCCTATTTTTAATTTTGTGTTTTAATCTTTTTTTTTTTTTTTTTGGAGACTTAGTCTATCATATGATTGTCAGCAATCACCTCTTTTTTTTAAAAAAAATCAATTCTTTATATTTTGATTTCAAGTTTTACAAAAATATTGATAAAAAAAATCAATTCATTTTTTTAGAAAAATTCCAGAATTTTTCAAGGTCTAAAATTATATATTTTTTTTATTTTTTAATCATTAAAAATGTAGAAGATAAAAAGATAGAAAAAAAATCTGAAATAATTCCAATTTTTTTTTTAAAAAAAAAACTCAAGATAAATCTCAGTGAAGAAATTTGTATCATAAAACTACTTATGTAATTGTTATTTTTTTTAGATAAATAACAGAAAACTGAAGGATGTATTAAATTTTTTAAAAAATAAAATAAAATTCAAGAAAGTCAAAACATAAATTAAAAGTTCAAGAATTAATTTTCAAATAAACTAAAGTTCAGAAAATATTTAACTCTTTTAACCTTGAAATAATAGACAAGTTCTCAAAACAAAGTATGGCAACTTAAATAGAACTTTTGATAAAGCATTGGTGCTGAATTTATAGTTATATAGCTCAGAATCAGAAGAGGAAACTTGCAATACGTCCGGAAATGGCGGGCTCAGCTTCCAGAACCAGAAACAAAGTAGTCACATTTGAAAATGACAGATTTGGCGGCTTCGAAGAAAGCATGGAGCAGTTACCCCGAAAAAGCTCTTCCACAAAGTCTTTCATTACTAATCAGAAAATTCTAAGCTTTGAAGGAAACTCACTACTATCCCCCTAAAGTCTACACAAAGTATCTTCTCTCCACCTTCTATGTTCTTTCTACTCCATCAGAATTCAGATCAACACTAATTCTGCAAACACATAACCGTTTGATGGGAATTCACTGGAGTTGCCTCGCAGCTGATAGGTCAAGTCAAACCTTCGTTGCTGCCCCAACTGGTTCAATCAGTCGTATATTGATATAGCAATTTAAGTAGACAAGTTTTAGTAGTACATGGACCAGAAGGATTATTAACGCAATGGTTAAGACAAGCTAGGAGAAGGGATCAAGTTATAAAGTAAAATTTTATATGTGATCATTGATTCAAGAATCAAGAAAGATAGAATTGTTTTTTTTTTTTTTTTTTTATGGTGATTTGCTTGAGTGCTAAGTCAAATCCACCCCCTGCTCCTGCATCAGCACTAGGTCCAGCTTTATCACATGCCCCGGATCCATTTCCTGAACCAGACGCAGCTCCTACATCCCCTGGACATCTCATTGAAGGTTGGTTTCTAATCAAGTAATCAACCATGACACCATTCTGCTCGTTTTCGTTGAATATTTGCCCTTGCCTAGGCCTTGTTGAAACAATTACTGGTAACTTCAAAATGTTCTGTTTTTATTTTTACTCTAATTTTTAGAGATGGTTTGCGTATATCTACCCTTGTGCTGTTGATTTAGGTGGTAACGGAGCTTGCTTATAAAATCTGAAAAGGAGCAGGGGCAATTACCCCCTTATAAAATTTGAAAAATTCATAATGGTCCTTAATAGTCTTGGGACTTTGAATT